TTTTTCACTGCAGTACTATATGAATTTTTAATTTACTATTTTTTATTTCTGGCTTCTGTCTTGAAAAATGGATTGTTTATAAGCACATAATGCTGTCATTTACTAGGCTCTTCCTAGAATGAAACACTTTAAAGTAAATGTTTATTTCATGTGTAAAAGCCCACTGGACCTATTAACCGCTAAGATGCAGTGGAAATTATTGCCTCGTTAGTGGTGTTTCCTAAGGGTAGCTTCACTGTTACTGCTGTGCGTACTTTACAGTTAGGGATTTGAACAAAACTCTTAACTAGATATTAAACTTTGATTTGTATCTTGCTGCACAATATTTTCTTATTTTATATTATAGATCACTGTCATTTTCACCATACTATAATATAATATTTGTGTAAATATTTATAAAAAGTTTACTATTATATTATATTACATTGCATTATATTATTTAACTGCATTCTGTGGTGGAAATGACTGAAGATGATATTTTTAACAGTTGGAATAAAATGGCTGCATTTAAAATGCATAAACTTTTTATGAATGCTAAATAAATAAATATGATTATTATAATTAATGTAAATAAATATTAATTAATTAATATAAAATATTTTAATTGCTCTTATATTCTGTGGTGGAACTGACAATGATGAAGATTGCATTTTGGGGGGGGGGATGACTGTATTAAATAATAGGTAACACTTTACTTAAAGCCTTTATGTATAATGCATTTTAATTATTCATAATGTGCATTGTAATACATTACATCTTGTCATAAATAATTATAACCGACATGCATAGTGTAACAGTGAATTGATTAGTGTTATAATATATTAACTGTGGTTACAATTATTCATGAGACAGTACAATGCATGATAAGGTGCATTACAAGGCATTACTACTTTTATAATGCATTATAAATAAATTGTTACCAAATAATATTTTCCAAATTTTTTTCATTGGAAAAATACCATTGTATACTTGTTTGCATAATGCAGTTGTTCCCAACCCTGGTCCTGGAGGCACCCCAACACTGCACGTTTTGCATGTCTCCTTTCTCTGACACTAAGGAGACATGCAAAACGTGCAGTGTTGGGGTGCCTCCAGGACCAGGGTTGGGAACCACTGGCATAATGCCATTATAAACGCATTTCCTTTCCTGAGTCATTATGGTACAGCAAAACACCATCCAGTTGTTAATGGTGATGAATTCTTCTAGATTTGTGCTGCAGAGCACATACATCCTCTCAAACAGACAAATAGGTCTTGCCACTTGTAAAGAAGACACTAAAACTAGGCATGAAATGTGGAAGTGCCATCTGACATTCCTCTGGAGTTTATGGAGGAGGCTGTTAAACAGCAGGGAAAAGTTGTTTGTGTTAAAGTACCGATGCTGAGCTGAAGAGATGGCAACAGGAAGCTGCCATTCTGCTGTCTCAACCCACACTGATGATGCACGTTTGCATGGTGACACCCGCTGTTTTCCTCTCTGACTTCACAAATTCCACTTAAAGACTTAATAACGCAGCTATAATTGGGATTTTTCTGAAGCTTCGTTCATTAGGGACGGCCCACTCATCCTGACCCAGAGCGCCTCAGCCATGCCCTTGCATCTGACATGCAGCATTTTTCAGAGTGCTGCGTCTCCTCATGAATATTTAATTAGAAGACTCACAGAGGGTGTCCTAAATATTCCGTGTCATGCCACCTCAGAGCCGCAGGTGCTGGAATTAAAGGGAAAGAGATGCACAGAAGTGTCACTGTTTTAGTAATTTGCTTGTTCTTGCAGGTTTTAGGGCTTGGATTAAGGTTGCATTCATCTTTATCTAAGGAATAGGTCACCTCAAAATAATGATGTCTTAATTTTCTCATGTCATTGCAGACCAGTATGACTTTCTTCTGTGGAACATTAAATATGTTGAACATGTATTGCTGCACTTATCCAATAAAGAAAGGACAAAAAAAGAAAAGAAAGACAAAGTAGTCCATTTAACATACACACACACACACGGAGAGAAATACATAGGATATAAATAACTTTAAAATAAAATACAGAAAATAAAATGTATTTTCATCCTATTGTATTATAATTAATTATTTGGAGGAGAATGTTGGCTGGGATGAAGAATAACTAAAAAAAATAAAAAAATAAAAATTCAATTATTAATGTCTCTCACGTTTTAATATAAATAAAAAAATTAATGATTTTCAGAATAATTTTTGCAGACCTACTCTTATGCTGTTTTTTGCCCTTTTTTGAGCTTTTGGACTGTTCAAATGTCATTGTGTGTATTTTATTTTATTATTTTTTTTTATCTTTAATTTGTGCAATGTTTGGAGCAGAATATTGGCCAGGATATAGAATTACCTAAAAAAATACAATTATTAATGTCTTTTTAGCAATTAAATAATAAATGAATCGCTTATCAGAATAATTGTTAATTGCAGTCTTACTCTTATGTTGCTTTTTTGTCTTTTTTGGAGCTTTTGGATTCCTCAAATTTCATATTGCGTGTTCCACATAAGAAACAAAGTCATACAGGTTTGGAACGACATGAGGGTGAGCAAACGTTGACCAAATTTTTATTTGGTGAATTGCCTTTCAGTGTCCCTTGTCTTTTACACCTTAATACTGCACATGTAAATTTATGTTATCTGCCTTTTAAAAAATAAACCGTGCAGGACAACCCTTTCTACAAAAGATTAAACTAATGATTTTATACCTGAACTTTATGGAAAGACTTCTTAGAGGAACAGGAATCTCACAAAGCTCTTTGAGCAGCACCATCAAAGCGCCGACAGGGCCCTCTGAGTTAATGTTGTAGTCATGTTCTTGTTTACCTGTGCTCCTGTTGACTCGAGTTCTCTCTGAAATGCTCCCATGGACTGGAGTTGCACTAAATTGGAGTCTCTGGGTGAAAGATAAAAGCTTCAAGTTTGTGTCATCCTGTCTGGTTCTGTTCTCCTGCTGTCAAATGAACAGTCCATGAGGAGCAGCTTCAGAAATCTCTTTGTTGTTTCCATCCCAGCTTGGGCTTTTAAAAGCAAGAGAGCATCTATGAACTTCAGGAGATCCTCTGAGGAATTCCCTGAAGGGGGCATTGACTTGATGGATCAAAGCTACTTTGAATAAGCTTGGTTTCAGCACTCCACAGTTTTCTTTATGAGCAGTGCGTGGCCTTGGACTTCACCAGCCCACATGCTGCATCTCCACTAAATCTCAGTTCACTCAAAAAACATGCTAGAGATTTTCAGGATTTGCCACAAGACCCATAAGTTGAGTTCACCTCAAGCTTACAGCCTTGGGTCAATCTCATGTTGAAGTCTCGAGATTTAATATTTCAGTTTCCAGCTTGACTGTCTATGTATTTCAGAGGTATTTTTATGAATACACATTCTGTCTATTCAGTGTACTATTTTAGCATTGTTCACATAGAACTGAGGGTTTTGGTTGTCTGTTGTAGAACAGCTTAGAAAAAATAATTTGTTTTTGGGCCTTTATGCTTTTTTTTTCTTCTTTTTTTTTCTGTGATTTATGCATACTATAACATAACGATTGTTCTTCTATTGTTTTTTGCGTACTTATTTTTGTTAACTTCTCTATTCTTCAATGAAGTCTCTACTCCCTGAAACAGCACTACTGTCACCCCGGTTATTAATACTTAAGCTAGAAACTGCTTTATTTGCAAAAATGCTTCAGGTTGAGAACAAAAACATGAGTAGAATCATGTTTTTGCCCAAAATTGTTGCAAAAATATGCTATGCAGTTGCATAGGTGTTCTGAGTGGTTGTAAGTGCGTTGCTAGGTGTCAAAAGTCAAGAGAGCACTCTCCTAAGTATGATATTCTGGTCCCTATATGTGGCTTGGGTCTTTCCTCCATTGCCATTTTTTGTAAATTTTGTTTTGTTTTATTTTACTTTATTATTTTTTATAAAAATACATATTTTTATAATTTGTATTTTAAAACACGTTTTATAATTTGTATTTTTAATTTATTATAAAAAATTATTTGGTTTGTCCCAAAAGGTGAACGTTTTTATTTATTTTTAATAAACAAGGTAACCGTGTAGGGCAGCAAGCTACTGCCAAACCAAAAGGAGCAGGTTTATGCAGGAAACACAGCTTTTCCAAATGTAAATTTCTAAAGTGAATAAATAATAATAATTAATAATATTTTTTTCACAAATTCTGTGTTGTGTATTTTCTGGTAATCAAATGAACACGCAGAACATGAGGATTCGTATTTAAATAGTCTTTTTGCAGTTTAATATTCACAGACGCTAGTCCATATCGCGATTTGATTTATGTGTACTGACCTGTTTTTTTATTTATTCATCAAAAATATGACTGATTCCGTGAAATTACGCGTTATACAGTAAATTCCGTTTTTATGACTGGATTCAGTGCTTCCGTCTGCGTTTTCTGCATCTTGGAAATCATAGGGCCATACTAATGTAGCAAATGAGTATGATAAGCTCATTGTGAGAGTAAAAGATGGGGACATTGTTTATTTACTTTATAGCATTGCGTCTCACCAACTAGGTGACAACATAGCATTAAATCACCATTCAACAGACTCAAGCCACCACCTGTGACAATCAAATATAGGTGCGGGTGGGTGGCGGGCTGATAATTTGAAGCAGCGGGTGAAGTTTGAGCTCATCCGCGCATGTCTACACTACACTGACCTGGGTCGCCAGTAGCAAACAATGGAGCGCGCTCTGCTGGACAAACGTAATTACACCATTTACAAGCATTTCATCGCGTAATGGCAGCTCAGGAAAAAGGTCTATGTGTTCTGTAAAAAAATGTTCATATCGGCGGCAAATCTGTGGCATATTCGCAGATACTAATATGTCTGCAACAGTCTCATATCGGCCGATAAAATCGGCAAACGATATATCGGTCGGGCTCAAGTTATGGGTTTGTTCACATCTGTAAATCTAGGTATAGTAAAGCTATGATTCTTTGCTTAAATTCTTCTTTGCATTGTCTTCTCTATTTGTCATAGGCACACTTTCTGGCAGTACCACAAAGAGAATCCGAAGTCCCGTGTGGGTGACCCTCCACCAGACGGTCTGCCCGGCTTCAACAGCGGCGTAATGCTTCTGAACCTCGACGCCATGCGTCGCTCTACCTTATACAACCAGCTTCTGGAGCCCGAGCGGGTGGCTCGCCTTGCAGAGAAATACCACTTCCGGGGGCACCTAGGTGATCAGGATTTCTTCACGATGATCGGGATGGAGCACAGGGAACTGTTTTACCCACTGTCCTGCGGCTGGAACCGACAGCTTTGCACATGGTGGAGGGAACACGGGTATGGTGACGTCTTCCAGCTGTACTATCGCTGCGATGGGCCGGTGCACATCTACCACGGCAACTGCAACACTCCCATACCCGATGATTGAGGTTCAAAGTGTGCCTTTGAATGCCAACTTTTAGATTAAACTCATTTTGTTTGCACATCTTGAACAACTTTAAATCAAGTGGACCAAGGCAGAAGGGGCTCATTGTTAGAGGTGCTAATAGTGCAGCATTCCCATGACTAATAACATTTACACAATATAACACCGCTGAGTCTGTTGGTGCCTTTCCAAAGTTACTGAAAGAACTCTGGGTTAAATACCAGTTGTTTTTCTTTATTTAAAGAATGCAGTGAGGCTTTGACTCTCAGTAGTCTGAGTTTCTTCATGCAGGTGTCTCATTAAATCACTCTTAGACAGCAGGTTGTTAAAAAGAGCCAACCAGAGAGTCTTTTTCGCCTTCTAATTTCACTCTATTGTTTACAGGTGCAGTTGCAGTCTTGCAGTCACATTAAGGTACCACTTATCTTCGCTTTAAAATGTTGCTGCATATATTTTTACTAGTTTTAACCTCTCATCTTCAATAATGTGAAATGAATTCCCACTTTAAGCCACATTTCCCACTCAGTCGCAAATGTTTTATGCAGTGATGATGAGAAACGAGGGGGAAAGGATGTTGACCCATTTTCCTGAGTTTTTATGCGCTGATTTTGGAAAGCCGTTTCTCTGTGATGTGCAACTGAATCGCCTTAGAATAGCCAAGATAACATCTCAGATCAGAGGTCTCATTCTTGCCAAGGTGGTCTGATCCGCCTGAGAAATGTGGAAGTGGGATTTGCTGGAATATTCCAAAGGGAACAGCCTTTGCCCTGAGGGAGAAATGCGCTAGATTCTAGGGCAGAGCACTAGCTGTTGTGGTTGGCTGGCATTTATTGAGCGATGTTGCTGTTGGCGAAACTCTGCGGGGTTGTGTGGATTGCTCGTAATAACCTGTGCAATGTCAAATCAACAGGCCAGAGAGAAAGAACTTAGTAATCAGGCCTCACATGTTTTGGCAGGCAGCCATGATATCCCACTTTAAGCGCTTCTGTGTCCAGTATGGTGAGGTTTTCAGTGAATTTGTCTTTTGTTTTTTTTGGGAGTGCGGTCATGTTTTTTCTAGCTGTTTTAGACCGGCTTTTGCCTGATCAAGTTAAAAGCAGTGTTTAAAAAAAGTGTTTAACTAATTAACCTTTAATCTGCTAGTCCAATCACATGAAGTATTAATTTTTTTTTTCTGTTTTCTTTGTGTATTAATGTTCATTGGGTCTCATCCTGAAAGATGAGCAGAGCATATTTCTGTGTAAATCTTAATTTGTACATTATCGTTCAAAAGCTGGGGGTAGGAAAGATTCATGTGCTGGTATTCGGTAATACAATATATCACAATAAAGAACATGTACAATATTGTTATCATGGGCTCTTCAAAATACCGTGAATAATTATTTATTACAGATTTTTCTTTTTTTGGAATGCATTTTAAGAATATGCACAACACCGCTGTATGCTGCTTCAAAGAGTCATGCACACTCTAGTTTAAACAAGCCCAACACGGATGAGAAGCGCATAGCGGAACAAGTGAAGTAAATGACATTCACATTTACTCTGACAGCAGATGGCACTGATGGAACAGCAGAAATGCAGCCGTTACCCTGGAAACCCCATAAACAAAGCAGCTGCACTACTCTGTTTCTGAAAAGTACATGATTTAAACAGCCATTCAGATTTTTGTATTTACTATGGTGTTAATCACAGCACTGACCTACTTAATAGGCTATTTATTTGAAACCGTACACAATGCGAGGGTGACGCGTTCGCCCATAAAGATAGCATTTTATTGCCGACGTGTATATGCATTTGCATTTTATTGAGGCGGCAACTTTGTGTAGAAATTGCGCAACATTCAGGAGCTGGTTTTCAACCCCTGCCCCATGAATTTTATAAATACAATAGCTTCGCTACTAAAATCTAATACATTTCTCAGCAATGAGTTGATAACTTAGCTGTTTTTGTAATTAAACCAACAAGCTTCACTAAGCTACTCAACTCGCACATTCTCTCTCTCTTTCTGACTCTCTCTCTCTCAATTCATTCAAATAAATATAATCTTTACAGCACTACTTTATTTCACTTCAGAATTCTACATCTAATGAACTGTACTGTAGATAAAATAACAAATGAAAATGACCATTATTTTCCGGTCTTTATCAAATAATAATGTCCACCTGACCTGAATTATATAAATAATTTTAGTAGCATGGCCATTCAAAACCTGTGGTCCTCCTACCATGTGCATAGTAGGGCTGTCACGATTATGAAATTTGGCTGACGATTAATTGTCTAAAAAATAGTCACGGTTATTGCGATTGATTGTCTGTTTTATGGCTTTGGTGATTATGACGATTAAGCCGATTATCACAATTAATTGTCTGTTTTTTATGGCTTTCATTCAATTGTGATTAATTTAAGGGTTCACTAAATAATTACGATGTTACCTTTTAATCTTTTTTGAGTTATTATTTTGCAGTCTAAGATTACATAGAGTTAGAGAGTCGGACTTGTAACCCAAGGTTGCGGGTTTGAGTCTCAGCTCCGGCAGGGATTGTAGGTGTGGGGAGTGAATGTACAGCACTCTCTTCCACCTTCAATACCACGACTGAGGTGAGACCCTTGAGCAAGGCACCGAACCCCCAACTGCTCCCCAGGCGCCTCAGCAATATGGCTGCCCACTGCTCCGGGTGTGTGTTCACAGTGTGTTTGTGTTTGTTCACTTCTCACTGCTGTGTGTGTGCACTCGGATGGGTGAAATGCAGAGCACAAATTCCGAGTATGGGTCACCATACTTGGCCACACATCACGTCCTTTCCTTTCTTTGAATATATTTAATATATATATATATATATATATAAACTAGGACTGTCATCATTAACGTGTTAACGCATGCGATTAATTTTACAATCCTTAACGCGTTAAAATAATTTAACGCAGTTAATGCAAAATTACTGTTTACATGAACGCTAAAATTACTGAAGCACAATTTCTATTCTAACCCTTTAACCCAATTTTGCTTCTCTGCTTGCGATCAGATCATTTTAAGCTGCTTAAACTCGGGGAAAGTTTTCAGTCCAATGATCCAGGAAGCGAATGCGTTCAAACAATCTGTCCAAAACAGCGCTAATATAAAGGAAACCAGGCTGATTACATCAGAGATTGGATTGCAGAGAGAACAGAGACTCGCGTTGCATTTTCAGTGATTATTTAATTATTCCAGTGTGTTTGGCTTTAAAACACGAGCTCTGTCATATTCTGTGATTGTCTCTGAAGAGCGCGAGCCCTCACACGTCGCGCTGTGTGAAGTAGCCTACAGACGAATTGTCAACACATCCCACCGCTGTAGATAAGACGCAAACTACGGTTTCTTGACTTGATAACCACTAGTAGAGTAGTAGATAACCACTTGATCTCGTTAGTAGTTTTGATGGATGAAGACTGCAATCAAGACGATTGCGGTGGCGTACAGGAGTCGTACAGTAAGCACGCGTCGCGATCTTTCTCTTCATGCAAATATATTGGTGGTCTGAATAAAATGTCCTTCTATTTCCTATAATCCTATTACATTTTCTTTTATGTATTAGTATTCTACATGTAGCATTAGTCTACATGTGTTTGCATGTTGTAGTATTGCTATATCAGTTTCATTTTGAAGTGGAGCTCTTACAATTGGTAGATGACTCTCCAGTTGAATATCCAGCATGGGTTTCGCTTATTTGATCAAGCATCCTTATGTGTTGTGCGGAGGCCTGTGTCCTTTATCCCAGTTTCAACATGTTCCAATTTTCTTTGGTCCCCCTGCTCTGTGTCTTATGCTCTCCTCATGTTCTGTATGTACATGATTTATGTATAAAGCATCTAAGAGTGGCAGTTAGTATCGACTTGATTAAAATTAACAGCAAAATTTAGGGCTAATCCTCCAACCTCCCCAAAAGATTGCAATCCATATAACTCTTTTCTGATTCATCCCTACTTTGTATTAAATTGTTCTCCTATCCTCAACTATAAGGCTTGTGTCATGATACTGTCACGTTGTCCCTAGTAGAGGCAACTAGATTTTTGCACTTTGTGTAAAATGTGCTCAATAACTTCTCCAGTTTTTGCTATTGTGTTCTGAATGGTTTAAATTGTAATATTTCACAATATTATAGTTTTTACTGTATTTTTAATCAAAGAAATTCAGCTTTGGTAAGCATGTTACTTACCGAAAAAATCCAAAACACAAATTCAATAACTCTTACTGATCCAACACTTTTGAACAGTATTGTAATTGCCAAATCTCAAAATGACTCTCTATTTTTCATGCTGTATATTATATTGTTGTAAAGCCTTCATTTTCAATATAGGCTATAGATTTTAGTTTTATTTTTTTAATTCGTCCAGAAAAAATGTTAAAGGTCTTTAACAATGGGCATTAATTGATTATCAGTTTTAACATGAAACTAGTTATCACAGTATCTGTATTGACCACATTTTTTTATCGGTCCTTTTCAGCCGGATGAAATTGTTTTTTGTTTTTTTTTGTCCCCGTCTCCTCAGGCCCCTGGTTGTCAGTAAGATGTCGGTCATTTGGGCTTTGCTCACACTCAGAAAGCTGCAGGTGAGGGCAGCACTGACCTACATTACTGTGGCACACTAACCTATTTTTCCACTTCTAAAATTGTATCCTGATATTTTTGTTTGTTTATTGTCATGGAAGCACCAAGTGCATCCGTTGATGGTTTGTCCTATAAATCTGGAAATTAGTTATATAAAATTTTGTGCAGGTGCATTATTATAAAATGAATGATTCTGAAAGTGTTTGTGTGATACTTTAGAACTAAATGTCCAGCTCAAGACATTCAAAATTGTTTTCATTAAATTTTTTTACCAGTTACTTATTCAACAATGTCCATTGCATGCATGTTTTAATTATGCATATCTTGGTTCAGTGAAAGTCAGTGAGGTTCAATTTAGTTTTAGACCCCACTGGGTATCTTCTTTTAATAAATCTAGTTATATAATTTTATTAGTGCAGGTGAATTATTATAAAATAAAAGAAAGTTTCAGTGTGATTCTTTAGAGCTAAATATCCATTATTTTGTTTTTAAAGGGATGGTTCACCCAAAAATAAAAATTCTGTCATTAATTACTCACCCTCATGTCATTCCAAACCCATAAGACCTTATTTTTTTATTTGTTTCCATTACAATGAAAGTCAATGGTGTCCAGTGTTGTTTTAAACCCGGTGACTTTCATTTATTGAAAGAAAAAAATCTAGTATCTTAAATATCATCTTTGTGTTCCACAGAAGAAAGCAAGCTGTACAGGTTTGTAACGATAAGATGGTAAATAAATTATGACAGAATTTTTGTTTTTGGAGGAACTATCCCTTTAAGTGTTGATTGTCACATAGTGTTATTATCCTACAGATGCATTGGCAGAACACAGGACATCCAATTTACATTTGTTCTATTATTTGATAGCACAAATTCAAACTGGTTATGTGACTCACTGTTCTGAACATTGGGGCCTTTGAATTTGAAATGCATCCAAATGAACATCATTTCACATCTTTCTTTTTTTCTCCTTAGAGCTCTGTGTGTTGGCAGAAGTGCTGTAGGGTACTAAGATTTCATCAGAAATGATGAAATAATGAAATCTCATTGAATTGCAGCACTATAACATCAAGGGGAGGTAAGAAAAGACAGGATGCATCCCTTTGAGAATTAGTTGACAAGTTTTTGAACTGAAAAGTGAGAGAAAATGAATGCACAGTAGGACAATATGTAAGATATGAGATATCAAATAGTGTTCTATTGTTCTTCTTAGTTTTTATCTGACTTTTTAAAAAAACTTTTTTAGATAGATTATAAAATGGCAAAAACAAAAAGATTTACAATATCTGAATGTTCAAACTAGGCACCAGAACATCATGAAGACAGGTGTGCTGTAATGAACATATTTAGGGACCATACTATCATAGATAACTTGAAAAAATCATGAACATTTTTTAAACAAAATGTTCAAATCT